TTGTGTCTATTTCAGCTTTCATGCTTTGAACTGTTTCAAGAGCTTCCTTCACTTGTTTGGTTGTTTTTTTTTTGGGGGGGGGTTTCTTTAGATTTTTTAAGAGATTTGTTTATTTCCTGAATTTTTTGATTTGTCTTTTCCTCCATTTTGTGTCGTTTTTTGCTTGCTTTTTCTTCTATTTCTTTAAGGGATTTTCTTGTTTCCTCTTTAAAGGTCTCTATCATCTTGCCGAGATAATTTTTGAGGTCCATCTTCTTCATCTTTTGTGTCGAGCTTTTCAGATCTTGCTGGTGTGGAGTCCCTAGATTCTGATGGTGTCATATTGGTCTTTCTGTTGTTGAGTGAGTTCTTATTCTGTCTTCTTCCCATATCTTCTTCCAGTGGGTGCAGGTGGGGTCTCTCTATCTCCTCTTGTGACCCAGTGGTGTGTGTGGGCCAGGGATTCAATGTCCGCAGCTCTGGATGGTCTTGCCTCTCCTGGTAGTCTCCTCATTCTGAAGGAGTTAGGCCTCCATAGAGGTCAGGTCGGTGGAACGGGAAGGAAGAGTGGGGTGTTTCCAGACTCAGGGAGCTCCTTCCTGCTTGGGCGTGTCTACTCCCAGTGGGCACAGGCCCAGAGAGATCGGGGTGAATGGGGCTTTGGAAAGGAGTTGGGCAAGAGCAGAGGGTCCCAAACTGATTTTTTTAAGCACCAGCAAGACATGGAAAAAGGTGCCTGCTGGCAAATCTGAGGTTGATCCCTGAGAATCCTGGGTTTGGAAGGAGAAATTCAAGTCTGTCTCGGTGTCTTCTAACCCCATAGCCTGTAGGCACCTGCACACAAGCCCCCACACCTACACCCGACTCCCTGAGACACACAAAAGAAATAATTTTTTAAAAGTATGTTTACATATTTAGGAATATATGTAACAACAATGAAAGAAAAAAGGCTATAAATTTAAGAGAGCAAGGAGGAGGCATGTGGGAAAGTTTACAGGGAGAAAGGGGAAATGATGTAATTTCAAAAGAGATTTAAAAATCAAACCAAAATTAATATTTGGATGCTTTTACTTAAAAATAGTACTTAATAAATACAATTATGGATCACTTACCATATATTGCTGGGGTAGTGTATGATGGACTAGTTTAAGGGGTGAACAAATTCGTTTTGTGGGACACTGATAGAGAAGAGTGCTGGGAGCTAAGTACTAAGATTTTCCTCTGGGATGTAACAGACTGAAGTTTTCAGAATGTATGCCTTCTAAGCAAACTGGACAACGTGGGTCTTAGATCAAAGCTTAATCCTAATGGCAATAAACCCTCTTAGTTTGCTTAGGATTTCAAAGAAAAAAAAAGGAGCAGTGCGTGCGTGTGTGCGTGTGTGTGTTATACATACACAGATTTCATAAACTCACACCATACAGGCAAATATAATTGCACACGAAGCAGATTAAGAATTGGCGGTGTTGTTTATACAGTCAATGAAATATGTACTGCATTCATCGTAACCTTCCTTCAGGTATTAGAGTTTCAGACTGGGTGTTCGGTGCATCTTATTTAGTGTTCGGTGCATCTTATTTATTTATTTTATTTTTTTTATTGATTTATTTTTTGAGACATGGTTTCTTCTCTGTGGCTTTGGAGGCTATCATAGCACGCGCGCTGCAGACCAGGCTGGTCTCGAACTCACAGAGATCCGCCTGCCTCTGTCTCTCGACTGCTGGGATTAAAAGCATGCGCCACCAAGGCCAGCCTCTGTGTGGTTTAAATTTCAGCAACCTCATTAGGAACTGTGTGGGCCCGTTGCCCCAGTTTCCTGACCGGCTTCTATACACACACACACACACACACACACACATTGCTTCCTGTTGGCTACCAGGAGCGCGGGGGCCAAGGGAAGGGGTTTACCGACGTACCCGGAAGTGTTTTCGCGGTTTTTCTTTTTTTTTTTT